CCTCCCTCCCTTCCTTCCTTTCTCCCTCCCTCCTTTCCTCCCTCCCTCCCTTCCTTCCTTCCTTCCTTCCTTCCTTCCTCCCTTCCTTCCTTCCATGGTGCTGGGCCTTGCCCTTGCCTGCCCTGCCTGGGCCAGTCCCCCGCCATCTCTTGGCACCTGCGTTTCTTGTCACCTCACCCCCCTCCGCCCCCCACCGTTAGCTGACTGTGGGTGGACGCTCTGTATTTCCGGGGGGCTCTGCGATCTGGTAGGGGTCCACAGGCACGCAGGAGGGCCAGCCAGAGGAGGCTGTCTGGCCTGAGCCTCGGGGCAGGGCAGTGGAGGGACCACCCGGCCTCCCTGCCTGGCACCAGGCTCTGTCGAGGCCTGGCTGCATGTTCTGACCCCGGCTGGGCTGCCGCCTTGATCCCTGCCCCAGCTTCCAAGTGCACCGGGCCCAGAATGGTCCCTGGGGAGCTGGCTCCTCGTTGCCATGGTTACCCAGGCGTGGGTCCCAAAGAGCCATTCCTAGGGCGGATGGAGCTCCATGTGGAGCCTGTGGCGCCCTCCACAGTACGCTCCGTGACTCCCACATTCTGGCCCCTGGGCCCCAGGCTGCCCTTGGTTTTGAGTGTGTGTGTGTGTGGGTGTGTCTGCCTTGGGCGATGGGTTGTTCAATGTGTTCTTGAGCCTGGGCTCCGTGGGAGCCTTTCTCAGGCTGATGAAGTGCAGGACTCCTCTGTGCCCCCCCCCGCCCCGTCCCACCCACCTGTCCTTGAGCTGGGCCAGAAGGTGGAGGCTGGGGAGCTAGGCTCAGTCTTGTTTCCACCACTTGGACTCCTGGGACTGGACCAGCCCACCTTGCCAAACTCAGTTTCCCCCTCTGCGAACAGACATACACACCCAGGGCGGCTCCCGTGTCCCTGCCCCAGTGCCCTGACACGTGCTGTGCCTTGGGCAGGTTTGACCTGCAGCTGGCCCAGGCGCTGGGGGAGGCCGTGTGTGAGAAGAACCTCCGGGAAAAAGCAGCCCAGGAGAGCAGCAGCGTGCGCTGGGAGCTGGGCCAGCTACAGAAGCAGCTGCAGGTGAGGGGGTGCAGGCCGGAGCGGGGAGCACGGGGGCCTGGACTTCTGGTGCCCCAGCCTGTGTCTCTCGTGTGTCCATAGAACCACCAGATTGCTCTTAAGTCCATTCCAGTTTCCTGACTCGGGGGGGGGGGGGGGGATAGCTGGAACAAGTTCATTATCTTATCCAGGGCCAGTGTCCTGCCCTGAATGGGCCCAGATGCCCAGAGATTCTATTAAACGATGACATCAGAGACCCTGGGCATGGTGGCTCACGTCTGCACTCCTAGCTATTCGGGAGACTGAGATCTGAAGATGTGGGTTCAAAGCCAGCCTGAGCAGGAAAGCCCATGGGACTCTTCTGTCCAATTAACTACCAAAAACTTTTTTGAAAAGCTGGACATGGAGGTGTGGTTCAACTGGTAGAGCACCAGCCTGGGAGCACAACAGCTTCAGGGATGACACCACCCCAGGCCCTGAGTTCAAATCCCAGGATGGGCACCAAGAAACACCCTCCCCCCCCCCCGTCATACAACATGAGCACGTCTTGTGGCCCCTCCTTGTCCTGTGGCTGGGTAGTGGGGGGAGCGGGGGGGCTGCTGAACCCCTCCGACCCGGGAGCCCCAGTGTGCGTCTCCCCCTCTCCCCCCAGCAAAAGGAACAGGAAGCGGAGAAGCTGCAGCAGGAGGCGGCCGCGCTGCGGGAGCACAAGCGGGAGCTGCTGGCAGCCGCCTCCCTGCGGGGCGACGGCGGAGCGGCCGGGTTGAAGGAGAGGCTCTGGGCCATGGAGTCCCAGGCCCTGGAGCAGGCAGAGGCCCAGCGGCAGCAGGAGAGCGCCATCCGGCGGCTGGAGCAGGTAGGAGCCGATCCACTCGCTCCGTCCTGGGCAGCCCACGACCCCCCAGTTCCTTACCCACCCGTGACTCCCCACGGCCCCCAGAAAGTCGCTCCCAAGGCTGACATTCGTCCAGCTCCCCGGTGACTTCAAGTCCATCCTGCCGGCCTGCGAGGTCAAATGTCACCTCCTCAAGGAAGGTGGCGGATCCCTTCCCCGCCCCCCCCCCCATACCACATGTGTTCTACCCCTCGGCCTGGCCCAGTTTTGTCTCCGTACCTCTCTCCCTCTTGGAGACACAGGTTTGTTTGTTTTTCAGGCACGTAGTCCTGGCCAGTGCTGCGCTGTACTGTGTCCCCAGAGCTTATATTATGACCCAGTACACAGTTGGTGCTCAGTGCTCAATAGATCCCCGCTGGCCCAATAGCTACACATTTATTGATTGGCTACTGTCTGCGTGTAGCTCGCAGGCCTCCTCTCCTTGCGATGCCCTTCTGTGGGAGAGTCAAGAATTTAACCTCCCGCCCCCCACACACTTTGCAGAGCAGAAGCTGGAGAGAAGTAATGAGTGGGGGGCATGGGGGGCAGCCTGTGCAAAGGCCCTGTGGCCAGAGAGCCACATGATCACCTGGGTGTCCTGAAGACTCCTGAGGAAGTAGAAAGTCCATGTGGGTATTTTAGGGACAAGGGATGGGAGATGGTCCAACACTGTAGCAACCCAATATTCCAAAGGAAACAGAGCGGAGAATGGCCCCGCACTGGGCCTGGACTCCCGGGACTCCCTGGGGGCTGGGTCCAGGCAGAGCTGGAAGGATGGGCTGTACCCCTCCTCCCCCTCCCCAGGATGCAGACACTATTCCAATCTGCCACCCTCAGCCAGTCCTGGGCAAGCCCGGGGAGCTTTTACCCTCCCTGAGCCCTGGGGACCACCTGCTGCTGCAGGGCTGGGATTTACGGGTGACAATGGAGCAGAATCCCCGGGGAACTTTATGTGAACTCGTATAAGCATGACAGACATGCTACTGCAGATGTCAGGGGTGTCCAAGAAACTAGGGGGAAAGTGACAGAGAAATATTATATTTACGCTCTTAGGCTCCTGCTTTTGGATTATCTCCTGCGCCTCTGTCATTTTAAAAGGAAGGGAGGAAGGAAGAAAGGGAAGGAGGGAGGGAGGCAGGGAGGAACTGACATTTCAAGGAGCCTAATTTAAGCTAGGCGCTGTTTGAGGGGCTCAGATATTTCTAGCTCACACTGTCTGTACTGACAGGACAATCTCCACCTTTGAAAAGACCAAGAGTATCTGCCCTCTCACCTTAATTTCTTCCTTTTTATTTAAAAAAACCAATTAAACATTTGTCCTCGATATAATTTTATTGTCCTTATGCAGGTGTTACCGTTTCGTAATTTAAGAAATAAGTACATTTCTTTGGAGAGGACAATGTCACCCCTTTCTTGGTCTTCCCCCAGTCTCTCCCTCCCCGCCCCTGCCCACGAGTTACCACAGGACATTTCCCACAGTGTGTAGTGGATACTGTGTACATTTGTTCACGTCCTTCCTCTCTTCTGTGTCCTCTTCACCCCCACCCCCCAAAAAAAAACCCAAATCAAAAGCATCACTGCCATCAACAACAGAATCCAAATGTTTCCATTTCCTGGAGTTTGTTTTGATACATAGTATTTTAAATGTTCAGAGGGGTTGACACCTTTGGGCTCCTCCCCTGAGGGTCTCCTCCTTTAGTGTGTGTGTGTGTGTGTGTGTGTGTGTGTGTGTGTGTGTGTGTGTATGCCTAGAGTCCTATATAATTAATTCATCATGTCCAGTTGTATTTTCGCTCCCACTTCCATGTAGAAAAGAACACCTGTGCTGCTTGTCTAAGCTTGGCTTACCTCAGTTAGCATGATTTGTTCTGGGTCCATCCATGTCCCTGTGAATGACATCACAGAATTGTCCACTTCCCAGCGAATGACATCATAGTATTGTTTCTAATGGACGGGTAAAATTGCACTGTGTGCACCTCCTCTGGATCCACTCACCTATTGTCAGGGATCTGGGCTGGCCTTGGTGAACAGTGCAGCAATGAACATGGATGCACAAGTATCTTTAACACATCCATCCCGACTTGCAATGTTGGGGGTGGATGCCCAAGAGGAGCGTGGTTGAGTCATAGGGAAGTTCTATATTTAGTCTCGCTAAATATAGAACTTGGCTGTGACTTTCTGGAATGGGAAGAAAGTGTGGTTCATCTTCAGAGAGTATCCGGGAGACTCTGGGGTGGATTAGTGATGTCTGCTGTGGCCCTGGCAAGGGAGCAGAGGGAAAGGCCATTGCCACCAGAGTGTCAGGGAACAAATCTGGCTTTCACCTAAGGGTTCAAAATGGAAACTGGGGTGGGAAGGGCCGGGTGGGTGAGGAGGGTGACCCTCACATGCTGTGCTTACTGGCCCACAGGTGCGGGAGCGTTTGGAGCTGGAGATGGAATGCATGAAGCAGATGTATCAGAAGGGGCGTGAGGACCAGGAGGAGGAACTGGAGGATGTCCGTCAGTCCTGCCAGAAGCGGGTACGTGGGCCCCCTTCCCCTCCCCCAGGACCCGCACCCAGGCATGGGCCCTGGTATGGCCAGTTGCAGCCCTTGTCTACTCATCCCCCCAAGGAGGGGGAGGGAGGCTTGAGCTCTCTGGGTTATTGCACCTGTACATCTTAAAGATAAGCCTGGAACTTTCCAGAATGTTCTAGAACTATCCGGCATAGTCACCCAAGACAGACTTCTGGTCTCCAACAACGTGGCCTCTCCCCTTCCCAGAGTTCCTTGCCACCGAGTCGGGTCTCCTGTTAACCTCCTGAGGCCTCTGTGTGAGTCCCTGGCAGCAGACCAGACAGGCAGGCAGGGAGCCCTGACCCTGACACCCGGAAACGGCCGCTTACTGACCTAGGTGGGACCCGAGTTTGAACTCGGGGCATTGAATTCCCTAGGCAGGTATCGGGTATCTATCGCTGGCGCCCGCCCACCGCCCGGTGTTATTTTATTTGCTTAGGATCTTGCCTGGCACACTTTGCCCAGATTCTCTTAGAGCATGATGCTCCTGCCCCGTCTCTGGGATGCCAGGCAGGTGCCATTGTGCCTGACTGGTTGGTGTAGATGGGGTTCTGACTTAACATGTTTTTTCATTAGTTTTTTAAACTTGTTATTATACAGGTGCTATCCAGAAGGGTGACAGGTGCATAAGTCAGGGAATGAGTCCATTTCTGTTTGGATAATGTCACCTCTTCCCTCGCTCTCTCCCAGTTTTTCCCTCCCATCCATCCCATCCCACCCACCCACAAGTTTAGTTGATTTTCAACATGGCGTCCGGTGAGACCCACAGCTGCATTTGTTCACCCTTTGGCCTTCTATTTCTATGACCCCTCGTATCCTCCCAAGGAGAGATGAACAAACAAAAAAGAAAAGCAAACAAAAACAGCAGCAAAGGAGAACCCTCTTGCTTCCATTCCTTGGGGCTCAGTTTGATCAGTGTTATTTCGTATGATCAGATGCATGTTGGCCTCGCGTCTGTCTTCCTCTCCTGAGAGTGTCCTCCTGACGTGACACTGTGTGGGAATGCCTAGAAACCCGTCTAATTTATCAGGTCCCCGTGAATTTCAGATCTAGCTGCCTCATAGGAGAGAAAACCTTGGCTGTTTGTCTCTCTGAGCTTGGCTTACCTCACTTAAAGTGATTTGTTCTAGGTCCGTCCATTTCCCTGCAAGTGACATAGTGCCCTTCTTGCTAATGGCTGTGTATAGGTTCTACATTTTGGGGGCGATCCACTCATGTACATCTGGGCTGTTTCCATAGATGGGCTTTTTTTGTTCTTGAGCTGGCCTCCAACCCCAATCCTCTTCATCTCTGCCTCTGGTGTAGCTGGGGTTACAGGCGTGAGCCACTGTGCATAGTGCTGTTGTTACTGCTTGGCGTGACAGTATGCACCGTGCACACGTGTGCGTAGGGGAGAGATGATTCCCTGGATTCTGTCTTGCCATCTGTTGTGGCCTCTGTGAGCGGACCCGAGGCCATGTTTATGGCCCGGCTGCATGTCGTTTATGGAGCAGGAGCTGTCATCTGTGGACGTTCGTGTTCTCGTTCTCTGCCCTTACAACCAGTGCTGAGGCAGACAGCCCCGTAGGGGGAAAATAAAATCAGTCAACGGAATGAGGGATAAATCTCTAGGATGGACTTGCCCAAGAGCTTTGGTGTAAGCCCTGCTCACCTTCCTGTTCCCACCTCCCCTCCAACCCCTGCTCCACCCCTCTGTGTTCCTGACGCCAGGTAGGAACGCTCCCTGGGGGCCCTGCAGGGACTTGCTCCAAAGCAGAAATGACCCCACCGTGATTCTCCTCCTAGGGTCGGGGCCTGGAAGACCCCAGGTGCAAAGGTGCCCAGGTCTCTATTTTCCTCCAAGCCCAGGCCCCCTTCGTGGGCTCTGGACAGGGAGAGACGTGACCCGGCTTCACGAGGCTTCTCCTGGGCAGATTGGTGCAGGCGGGACGAGGGGCGGGGGCAGGGGCTGACCCTGGCTTTGCCCTCCAGTGGCTGTCCTCCAGCCCCCACCCCAGCACAAACCCATAGTTAGTGACCTGGGCCATGTGTCATGGCCATCTGAGGCGAGGCCCAACCCCTCTCAACTGACAGAACAGCTCTCACGTTGAAGCCACCGGGGGGTTTGGCTTCCCCGTCTGTGAAATGGGCTCAGGTGTGGATGGGTGATGGAGTGGATGGAATATTACACAGGCAAGCAGATGAGGCCAGGAGAGCAGAGCACAGCTTCCCCCACCGTTAGGGACTGTTTTCCAGGCCCCAGACAACCTCAGCCCCTCCTCCCCACCCCAAGTCACCAAGGTTATAAACCAAAGGAGTCACCAGAGGTTTTTGCTTGGGCTATAAAATATGTTTTCTGAATGAGAGCAGATACCACAGGTGTTCTTGTGTGTGTGCGTGCACTAGCGTGTACGGGGGGGGATTTGCACTCAGAGCCTCACACTCACTAGAAAGGTGTCCCACAACTCGAACTGCTCCCTTGCCCTTTTGCCTTAGGTATGTTTCCAGGTAGGGTCTCGTGCTTTTGGCCAGCTCCTGTCTCCAACTCAGATGCTTCTCCCACCAATTCCCACATAGCTGAGGGATGACAGGCGTGTGCCACCGCACCCCGCTTGGGTTTTGAGAGAGGGTCTTCCTAACTTCCTGCTCGCGTTGGCCTCTAATGGCGATCCTTCCCTCTCTACCTCCCAGCTGCTGGATGGCAGGGCGCCATGTGTGTGTGTGTGGGGGGGGGTCACAAGGTTTTTCAAGAGGGAACAGGACGTGTTTCTGGTGTGTTGGCTGGGGGCTCGGGCAAACCTGAGTGCCAACATTGTAAAGATCAAAGCCGGGGCCATGTGGATGGGAGGGGAACTTCCCTGAATGGGGGGATGTCAGCTATGGGTGAGGGGCTCCCCTTCACTTCCAGCTCCCAAGCCTTTCAGCTCTGCATGCTCTGGTGCACAGCCCCCCTCCTGACCGCCCCGCCTCGAGGGATGGCCTGCTCGGGGCCTGGCGGCCCATATGTACGCATGTCCCTGTGCCCACAGCTGTGGCAGCTGGAGATGCAGCTGGAGCAGGAGCACGAGGAGAAGCAGATGGCCCTCCACCAGAAGCAGGACTTGGAGACCCTGATTGGGAACCTGTGTGAGCAGGTAGGAGAAGGCTCCCAGTGCAGACACTCCAGCAGGGGAGAGAGGGGTATGGGAGGAGGGGGAGATGTGCACTTCCCGCCTGTAGTCTCTGCTGGAGAGATGGATGCATGTGAATGCAAGCCGGAGGGAGATCGGGAATGGCTGTGTTAGGCTGTTCCGCTGGCCTCCCCCTTCTCCCCTCACCACACCGGTGGGCCTGCCCTATTGTTGTTGGGCATTGACATCTACCCAGGAGGTCACCATAGAACCTTCTAGTCCTGACAACCACAGATGTCATCATACATGGACACCTGTCCCCTCGAGAACAAAATCAGTGGCTGGGCACACGCCTGTCATCCTAGCCACTCAGGAGGCTGAGATCTGAGGATCACGGTTCAAAGCCAACTTGGGCAGGAAAGTCCTTGAGACTCTTATCTCCAGTGTATCACCAGAAACTGGAAATGGTGCCGTGGCACAAATGGTAGAGCCTTGAGCAAAAGAGCTCAGAGACAGCGCCCAGGCCCTGGGTTCAAGCCCCATCACCAATGAGCTTTTCTCCCCAGAAAGCAGCGCCCTGGCGAGCGGGGGGCAGAGGAAGCGCTTCCCCCCCCCCCATGGCTGCCAGGAAGCCGACAGAGGGCTCTGCCCTTCGAAGGCACAGCCAGGGCTTGAACTTGGGGCCTCCAGGCTGGCTGCATTCCCAGTGCACCGTCACACGAGTGTGTCCGCAGCATTCACGGCAGGCGTAGGGCGTGTCGGGATCAGCGTCTGCTGCTGAGTTACCCAGCTGGTTCCCAGAGGACCCACATGCGCCGTGCCCATTCTGTAAACATCCATCCGGTCCCTTAGTGAATTCCAGGGCCGGGCTACCTGGAGAGGCAGAGCTAGAGGCTCGGGGAACTCCATGCTTTTCTCCCCGTCCTTCTCCAAGGTTCCTAGTTTTCCAGCAGGGCTTTTGGGATCATTGAGTGTGCAAGCTATGGAGGCCAGGCCTGTGGTCCCAGCAGCCCAGCCCAGCCGTGGGGGAGGAGGAGGGGGCTTCTTTCTTCCAGGGACATGGAATATTAATGACATCATCCATAGCCATCCATCATCCATGCGGGCGGGCGAGCAGCCGCAGGCGGGCGGTGAGAAACCTCCACCTCTGTCCTGCTATGTGCCAAATGACTTCCTTGGCAATATGGTACCCTGTCGATGATGGATGGGTTGATCTCATGTTTGTTTTCTTGATAGTGTAGGCGAAGATAAAGACATAAGCCATAGGGAAAAGTTTTTAAACACATGGCGATGCTTTTTTCCCAAAAAACTTCATCTCTTGTCAACTCTGGTTACGTCTACTCCCTCTGCGGTTAGGAGAACTTTTTTGTGGTGGCAGTCCTGGTAGCCTGGTATCATTTCTGGGTGTATTTAATAGTTGTGTCTTTAGCTGCAGCTAAGTTTGTTTTTTGTTTTTGTCAGTCATGGGGCCTGAACTCTGGGCCTGGGCGCTGTCCCTCAGCTCTTCAGCTGTAGACTAGCACTCTACCATGAGCCACAGCGCCACTTCCGGCTTTTTCTGCTTATGTGGTGCTGAGGAGTCAAACCTAGGGCCTCATGCATGCAAGGCAAGCGCTCTACCACTGAGCCACCTTCCCAGTCCCTGCAGCTAAGTTTTTGTGGTTGTTTGTTTTTGTCAGTTGTGAACTCAGGGCCTGCATGCAATCCCTGAGCTTCTCTATGCTCAAGGCTAGTACTCTACCACTTGAGCCTTAGCACAATTTCCAGTTTTTGAGTGGTTAATTGGAGATAAGAGTCTCACAGGGATTTTTCTGCCCAAGCTGGCTTTGACTGCGATCCTCAGATCTCTGCCTCCTGAGTAGCTAGGATGACAGGTGTGAGCCACTGGTGCCTGGCTTTTGTGCTTAATATTTCCTGGTCTTGAGATCTCTCTTTCCTTGTTCCTCCTTTATTCCGTCTAGATAGACTGATGCCATTTTCCTTGTTCTGCTGGTTCAGAAGGTATAAGCTAAATATAACTTAGTTCTTATAGTCGTTATTCATAAACACCCAATCATAATTATTGACATACTTTAATTTCCACACCATGGGGTAGATATGTATTATTATTCCCTTCATATAGTATTATTATTTCCATCATATATAAATACTGTATATGTGTATATATAATATATGCTATATATAATACACACATATATAAATACACACACATGTATGTATAGCATATGCTCTAGCCCCATGCTGTTGTTTAAATGGCTAGAATGGGTCATCTCAGTGCTGTCCAGTGGTCCATCTGTAACTGTCACTGCATTGTCTCCCCATTCCTCAATGTCTCCAGCTCTACAGTCCCTGGATTGTCCCGCACAGCATTACCAAATCATTTTTTAGTAGTGCTTAGAGATTTCTTTGACAACAGGCACTTAGTGATCACCCAGAACGATTTGCTTTAAAAAAATTTTTTTTAATAATAAATGGTGCACAACTGTGGTTTGAACATCACTTCCCCCAACAACACTAAACATCATTTAGATTTATTGGTTAATTATTCACTGTCTTTATCCAAATTCGAATTTTTGTGCTACAAAATGGGAATTCTCCAAGAGACATTTATTTCCCATTAACCTAATGAGATTTCCCCCCTCCCTCCCTCCTGGGCACCATCACAGTTCAGTTCCAGAAGAAGAAGAAGAAGAAGAGGAGGAGGAGGAGGGGGAGGAGGAGGAGGAGGGGGGGGGTTTCCTCGTGAACTTTGCCACTGCACTCTGTTGGGAACAGGAGGGGGCGCCAGCCTTTCCCAGGGCTTCCTGGCAGCGTGGCTATACAATCCAAGCCATCCTTACCACACGGGCAGTGCCAACAGTGAGGGAGAGGCTTTCTGATGCCAACTTGCTCCACAGAAAGCTCCGAGGCATTTTGGGGCTGTGTGCAGAGGAAACGCAGGCACCATTTTTTTTAGAGGTTCAGAGCACACTGCCTGAGTGGGATCACGGTAAATTCTGTGCTCTCTAGAGAGGAGTCTGCTGGGCAGTGGCCCAGAGGGGCAGAAGGTTGCAGGGTTCGAATCCCTCCCCAGCCCGTTGACAGCACTTTGGCCTTGGGCAGATGCTTTGCTTTCTCTGTGTTTGTTTTAGAAACTGTAAGTTCCGGTCCCCCTCGCAGTGCGCACTCCGAGTCCTGTGAGATTTCTCTTACCTTGTGACCTGCCTTCTCCTCCAAGGTTTCACATTGTCACCCCAATCACTCAGAAACGTTTACCCCCAGCCTTTTCTCCTCTCTGCCTGAACAAGCCGCTTCAGAACAGCTTTTCCTTTACTTGTACCGGGGTTTGAACTCAGGGCCTTGCGATGGATAGGCAGGTACTGGGCTGCTGAGACACAAGGCGATTGCTGGGCTATGCCCCCAAAGAGTAGCCACACCCCCACTTCTAAGCCAAATACCTATTGCTGGGCCACGGGCTTGGTACTGGGCCACGCCCCCACGTCTGGACCACGCCCCCGCTGCTGGGCCACGCCTCTTGCCTCTGACAGCTCTATAAATCTAAGCTACTGCTACTTTTATAAAGGCAATCGTAACAATAACCTCCATTTTTAAGTGACTGTCACACGCATTCAATGCCATAATGTGACAAAGCCTGGCGCTGTGCCCAGCCTTCAGTTCTGTTCAGCAGGTGAGATCATCTATCTCTCTATCTACTCTCTGTATATCATAGGCCAGCATTTTCAATTTACCCACAGCAACACGTCTGTGAAATAAAAAGGCTTGAAGAGCCAAGTCATCTGGCCATAGAGGAACAGCGCTAGCAAATCCGCAGGAACGCACTCCAGGTCATCAGACAACACGCATAATCCTTTCTGCTTGCCAAGCTCCTGAGCTGCGGGAGCCACCTGGCTCAGGGCCCCTTGTGGTGGTGCACAGAGGACAGGCAGCTTTTCTGTTAGACAAGGACTCAGAGAGGGGACAAGCCTTGCCTCAGGCTCCTGCCACCGGGACCACCACATTCTCAGTCCCACGCTCTTTCTAGAATATTCCAGGGCCTTCCTGGGGAAGAGCATTAGCATTTGGCACAGAGGCATCAACCCCCAAGGTGTGGAAGGACGGAAAGGCCGGGGGACGGTTGGGCACGCCTCCCTCTGGTGGTCATCATGGGCGAGCGCGGTGTCCTTTGCTCAGTTTCCCCCAGAGTTCCAGCGAAGGGCAGCATCTCCTTCATGGATGCTGGACACAGCAGGCCCAGTACCCTTCTGATCTGCTTTGCTTCTCTCTGTTCTGTTGGCTGTCGGGTGTCTGAGACCAGTCTCCTGGCGCCCAGACCCAGATGTGGCTTTCTCATGACCCACTTAGTCAGAGTCCTCCCCCCCACTATCAGCTCAGAATCCTGGGGTGCAGGAGCTTGCTCAGCTCTGAGTAAAGTTCCTTCTACAGACATGGATGTCACCTGCTTGGTCTGCAGGCTGGGCACCAGCTCAAGGCATGGAGAAGCTGGACTGGATTGAAGCAGAGGCTCGGAGGGAAAGGGTCTTATCCAGGGTCACACAGTGTGAGTGAGTGACAGAGGCAGGATTCGAACCAGGGACCTCGGGCCCAGGCCACTGCCGTACCATCTGAGCTCACAGCTTGCCTTTGGCTTCCAGATCGGCCACCGGGACTTTGATGTGGAGAAGCGGCTCCGCAGGGACCTGAGGAGGACGCATGCGCTGCTCTCGGACGTCCAGCTTCTGCTGACCACCATGGACGACAGCAAGACGTCGGCCAGCAAGGAGGAGCTGGAGAAGATGCGCAGCCAGGTGGGTGCGCCAGGTCCCCCTGAGCACCCTCAGCCCGGGACACTACAGAGGGGGACACTACAGCCCAGGGAGGGGGCTTCTTCCCAACCACACAGGGGGCCAGACCTCGGGGAAGTGGGGACAGCCTGGAGAGCTAGGGCTGTGACTGAATTACTGATATGAGAGAGAGAGAGAGAGAGAGAGAGAGGTGACCAGAGGCTTGCATAGGAAGCATGTAGCACCGATGTCCCCCGCTGATGCTCACAGTGGACCGAGTCCCCTTGATATGTTATAACACCGGATTTGGGTAGGAGGGACGGGATGGTTGTCACCACTGTGACAAAGCACCCGAGAGACTCCATTTAAAAAAGCCGCAAGGTTTTGGCTCCTGGTTTCCATGGCTTTTAGTTCATGGCCGCTTGGCCCCCTGGGGCTGTGGTCTCGGCTGGGACGGGAAGTGTCGTGGTGGAAGTTGGGCAGAGCTGTTTTCCTCGGGGTGGACAGGAGAACAGGGGAGGAGAGGGAGAGGGGGAAGGGGAAGAGGGAGACAGAAAAGAGGAGGGGGGCTCAGGACAAGATACTCCCTCCACAGACACACCCAGGGACCCCCTTCCTCTGTCCAGACCCACAAAACCACTGTCACGGGCGGAGAGACCCACTGATGGGTTCATCGCTTCTCCATGGCGCCCCGGCCGGCAGCAAGGCCTTCACACAGGGCCGGAACTTGGTAGCTCCATTGTGCGAGGGAGGCGACCTGGGGTGAGCGCCCAGCATGGCACAGCCCGAGAGCAAGAGAGGCAGGATTTGAACTCTGGTCTCCGGGCGCCTCCTCCCCTCCTGCCTCCTCAGAGGAGGACGGAGCCACAGGTGTGGGGTGAGGGTGGAGGTCTGGAAGCCAGCCAATCCGGACTTCACCATCGCCTCCTCTCCCGTCAGGCCACGCGTGGCAGACCCCTCGGGCCGGGGCGGGGCAGGCTCGCAGCTTGTATCTCCGTTTGGGGGACCGTAGCAGTTTTGAGCGGGAATCAGGGAGAAGGGCCCTCTCTCCCCCAATGGGACCCCACAGTCTTCTTGAGATGACACTGAGCCACAGGGGTCAAGAGGCCAGGAGACATTCAAGGGCCTGTGGGTCACGGTCCCCTGGGGCGGCCCACCACCCTGCCCCGTCCCGGCCTGTCCTGGCCCTGAGACAGAAAACCTTGTGTCCTTGTCACCCTGCTCCCCTCACGGCCACGTAGAAAGCAGATACAGCTGTGCCTACATACCGCCTCGCCGTTGCCCGCCGTGGGATCCTGGGAGGAATCGAGGGAGGAAGGCGGGATTGTACCCATTTCACAGTTAGGGAAGTGGTGCCCAGAGATGGTGTGCAGACTAAGATCTAAACTTCAAGGGTCTCAGTAGAGCACTTGGGGACACTCTTGCTTTAGGGTGTGTCTTTGTGAAACCCTTTGGGCTGACTCCGATGTGTGGGGACCCAGCCTCCCAGCCTTAGGTAGGTGGAGATGGGGTAGGGGCAGGGGTATTTCAAGTCCATTCGGTTCTCTAGGAAGAGGGCTGTGTGCCCTGCTCACCCTCCGAGCCTCCCTGCCCCCTCAGGCAAATGCTCTAGCAAAGGATCCCCAGGGTTTGTTTCCTTTCCTTTCTTTCAAGTATTGGAGTATTAGGGGCCCCAGTGTGTGTCCTTAGGAGGCAGTGTGTTTAATGAAGGTGCCTGGAGCCAAATCAAAGAGCTTTCTTCTGAAAGTGCCCCTCCCTACCCCCTGCGTGGCCCCCCACCCCAATCCTCTCAAAGGGAGCCCGAGCCCTGGCTCTACTCTTGTCTGTTACCATGGAAATGCGCAGATGTATGGGAGCCCATGGACCAGAGGTCGGACTTCGGGGGCTTCGGCTCTTGGTGCCGGTGTCCCGGATGCTTGTGTCGGTCGTGGCAATGACACTGGGTGGGCGCCGACGGTTGCCCTCCGGTCTCATGGGATGGGGTGGACCCTCAGCCTGAGGGATCGGGGACAGCGGGGGAGGGGAGGGGGGAGGGCAATGGCGCACAGGTGGTGGATTGTTGAGTATTTATGGAATGCCTGGTGTGTCACCTGATGGGCTGCACTTGGGTAAGACGGTTGGTAAGACAGGTGTGGTATGCTCCGTCCAGGAACTCGGGCCTGGCAGAAAAGAGACAGATAGAGACAGACGGACAGATAGGCGGACAGAAGGATTCCACCTGGGCACTCTCGAATCTTCTTCCCAGGAGGGTAGAAAGCCATGGGCAGGTCCTGAACAGAGCCCTCCCCCCCCCAAGACTTAGTCACCAGGGTAAGGGGGTTGCTAATAGAGATGAGAAGCTCCAAACTCAGGGCTCACTTGGATTCAGACAGACAACAATAATCATGTAATGGAAGATCATCTCCACCCAACCCCTAGCTGTGTAGGCCTTCCTCTATTGGACCCATGTGACTAATGATAAAAGGGGCTCTGAGAGATTGAGCACTTTGCCCAAAGGCACACAGCACACACCGCGTGCCCAGAAGCTGTGGGTGTCCACAGCCCCTCACTCTTGCAACTGGGGTTTGCCTGAGATGAATCGGATTTGCCTGACAACACACCTACTGTGTGCCACGTCCTGGGGCCTCTCCCGCTTGGCTGCACAGCAGAGGACTTGAGGCATCCATTCTGATCCACTGATTTCTGCCTCTCCCTCCCTTCTTCCTCCTCACTTCATTGAGAGTCTGGGCCGGCCCTCAGAATCCACTAACCAACCCCATCAATGCTGATCTTAGGACCTGAAGCCTCTTTCACACACACACACACACACACACACACACACACCCTTTCCAGTTGGGTGGCAGGGTTCCGATGCACAGTGACCCGGCATACCCACATGACAGCCTTAGGCCCGCTCTGTGGGAAAGGACTAGATCCACCCTCTGCTGACTTCTTGTCCCACGCTTGATACTCGGCCAGGTGCTCGTGGTGGGAAGCCAGTGGGGGCCACAGAGACCGGAGTGGATGCTGACTCCTGCCCGGCTGGCCCTGGCTCACAGGATGATGAATGACCTGGGGGGGAGGGCCAGGATGGGGAGGCCCCTGGGGACAGGAAGTGGGTTTGGGGTGGCAGGATGCACACAGGTAGGAGGGCCAGTCCTGGAAGCAGATGAATGAGCTGGTGAACCTGGCTAAGGGGGCTTGAATCCTGAAGTTATAGAGAGCCGAGGGAAGCTGTGGAGCAGGGCAGGGCGTGGCGGGAAGGGCTGGTGAGAAGCGGCCAGACTCTAGAAGGACCCAGCCTGCACTGGTGGGCACCCTCCCTGTCCCACGGGGGAGCGGGGGACACCCCTCAAACCACTGCCCACCAACTGCAATGGAAATGACTCATGCCTCTGCCCACCCAGATTCCCTCCTCTGGAGGCCTCCCAGAAACACAGAGGTCGCCCCAAGGCCCAGGGCAAGAACCATACTTTGTAGGTTCAAATCCTTCCTCTGCTCTTCACTAGCTCCATGGTGACTCGGGTACCTATAGGTGCCCTGGAGACCATGGGTTTGAAAGAAAAGTCCAAGATAAAAACGGCTCTCTGCTGACTTCCTTCTCTGCTATTGCTTGTCAAGGACTTTGGTCTCTGATTTTCTCTTTTTCTTTCCTTTTTTTTTTCCTGTCACTTGTGGGACTTGAACTCAGGGCCCAGGTGCTGTCCCTGAGCTCTTTCACTCAAGGCTAGTGCTCTACCACTTTGGGGTACAGCTCTACTCCCAGTTCTGGGGGTTCATTGGAGATAAGAGTCTCAAGGACTTTCCTTCCCCAGGCTGGCTTTGAACCTTGATCCCTGAGTAGCTGGGATGGCAGGCGTGAGCCACCCGCACCAGCTTGGTCTCTGGTTTTCCAGGACCTTGGGACACTGTAGGCCATGTGGGGGCCATCTAAGAACACCTGTTCTTTGGGGACCAATTACTAATTAATTCCTCTGGAATGTTTCCACTGGAAACAAACAACTCCAGAGACAGAAGCAAAATTCTAACAACCAAGATGTCTAATTAAGATAATCGCCAGGCATAAATCACAGCTGTGGGTAGCAGGTGCCCAGACCTGGCTGTAAGCAGGCAGGCGGGGGGGGGGAGCCTCCCCCTACCCGGGACCCTGCCTTTGACCTGGATCCTCTCCCCACGGGAAGTGACTTGTCTGGCCTTTTGTTGAAGAGCGAAAGGTTCACCCCGAATTTAATTCACTCATCCTGGGGAGCCGGACGGATTCACCCCCTTTCTGCTAAAAACAAAGTTGTGTCTCAGATGCTGCACCCCCAAAATGCCTCTGAAATGTTCTCTCCCTTTTTCTCTCCTTCTCTCTCTTCCTTCCTTCTTTCCTCCTTCCCTCCCTCCCTCCCTCCCTCCCTCCCTTCCTTCCTTCCTTCCTTCCTGCTCTCCCTCCCTCAAGTCCTCCTTTCTCTCTTTCTTCTCTCTCATTCTCCCCCTCCCATTTCTGGCTCATTCTCTTTTTCTATTTCTCTTGTTATTTCTCTCCCTCCCTCCCTCTTTCCTTCTTTTTCTCTCCCCCTCCAATTCTCACTGAACGACCACCTGTACCTCTGTCACTTGGATCTCTGCCACATGCCGCCTTTTTCCTGTTCACATCCTGATCATGTGAGAGAGAACTTTAGCGTTTCCATTCAGTCCAGGCTGCCTGTTACCCTGGGCATTGATGGGCTCTCCGGGGGCCCAGCCCGGTCCCCCCGCTGACACAGCGCGTCCAGCTCACTGCGCCCCGCTCTCCTGCTGCCCCTGCCTGCGCCCGGCCCTCTGTGCGGCCCTCGCTTCTGCCCTGGGTCCCTCCTGGCCTGCAGACACCCCCTACCCTGCTTGTCCTCCGAACGTGGGGTCTGGACGCCCTGACTCGAGGCTGACGCTGACTCCCACGGGCCCATGAGCTCCCACCCCAGCCATCTGGGGTTCACCTCATGTTTTATGGTCACCACTGATTTGTCCTCTTCCTGTTCCCCCCCACACACTTTTCTCTCCATCTCCTCTAAGACCAGAACCAGGACTGATAAACAGATGGCAAAGTCTTTACTCAAAGGCACAGAGCTAGTAAGAGGTGGAGCAGGGATTTGAACCCAGGGAGTCTGCCTGCAGCACCCAACTCAGAAGCTTAACCATCATCCAGCTGTCCGACATCTGTCCAGCTGGCTCACTGCCACCTGGGGGCCGTCTCCCCCATCCGGAGCACCCGCTCCCCCCAACCCTGAGGACTGGGCTCATCTCACACACCGGGGCGGGCCTCTGCGCTGGGCTCTCCGTCCCAGTCACTAGTTCCCAGTGGTGATTAACCACCAGCCCAACTTCCCCTATTAGTGCCCAGAAGACTGATTGGCCCATTGCAGCCCCACTGCCTTTAATTAGGACATTTGTCACCATGTGTCACCGGTGTTCTCATGAGACAACGGGCGTAATTAATACGCCCTGGGAAGATGACCCTGAGGGGAACTCTGCGTGTGTGTGTGTATGTGAGAGTGTGTGAGTGTGTGTGTGTGTGAGTGTGTGTGTGTGAGAGTGTGTGTGAGTGTGTGTGCGTGTGTGTGTGAGTATGTGAGAGTGTGTGTGAGTATGTGTGTGCGTGCGTGTGTGAGTGTGTGTGTGCGTGTGTGTGAGCATGTGCGTGCGTGTGTGTGCACGTGTGTGTGAGTGTGTGTGTGCGTGTGTGCATTAGTGCGTGTGAGTGTGTGTGAGTGCGTGTGTGCACACACGTGCGTGTGTGTGAGTGTGTGTGAGCATGTGTGTGTGAGTGTGTGTATGTGTGTGCACGTGTGTGTGTGTGTGTGAGTGACTAGCACCTTTGAGGACCTCTGCACAAGAGCCCTTGTTCCCTGTCTGATGTGTGGAGCCTTTTCTTCCCCCTCTTTCTCCTTTAAAGATTGTGTTGGAGTGAATTGATTCGCTATTAACATAACCTCCTGTCAGAGGAGATAAAGACCGAGTTGTAATTGGTTGGAAATACAGTTACCACCAGGCCTATTCACCAGACAAATATTGGCACCTCTGAGCTGGTGATGGATGAAGCAGGGGTTGCGGTTACAGAGGCCCTGGTGAGCGCATGGCGATGCTGGCCGGGCCCGGGGGCCGCCCCAGCCTTCCATCCACGTGGGGGCCAGTGGGGAGCACGGGTCAGCCACATCCTCACCCCCACCTCGTTGTGGTGAGGTATACAGATGGCGGGTCAGCACCATGCTGAAGGACAGAGCCGCTGTGTGGCACCAGGGTCTGGGCGGTGTGTGTGTGTGTGTGTGTTTCTAGGGATAAACATCCAGCCTGTGAAATTCTGGGCTGTCATTTACACAAGTGTATGTGTTTGGCTGGCTCGTTTTCTCACATGGCTGTGTTTCTGCTCTGGTCGTGTGGCAGCCTGTGGTCCCCCCCTAGCTGTGGGTTCCCCTCGAGGGAAGACATTTATCTGTCCTGCTTCTGGTTGACACGTCTCTGCTGTGTGACTGGCATGTCCGGCCTTTCCAAAGCCTTTGGGCCTCTGGGGTACCTGCTTTTGTCTGCGCATACTGAGCGCATTTGGTTTTCTGTTGGGGTGTCTGTGGTTTTCTTGGGGGCGTTTGGGATGTAAGCTCTTAGCTAGGCAAGTCCATGACCGACATTTCTTCCATCGAGCTAGCTCTCTACCATTTTGAGCCACAGCGCCACTTCTGGTTTTCTGGTGGTTCGTTGGAGGTCAGAGTCTCACGGCCTTTCCTGCCTGGGCTGGCTTTGAACCGTGATCCTCAGATCTCAGCCTCCTGAGTCGCTAGGATGACAGGCTGCTAGCACCTAGCTTAGAATCTACATTTTTAAACAGCCCCCTCTACCTGACCAGTGGTGTCACACTGAGTTCTGGCTCAGTGTGGAAGGAAAACACTGAGTTCTGGCTCAGTGTGGAAGGAAAATCTGAGGCTCAGTGAAAACCTGGGAACCCAGGTACCCACCGTGCACACCCACCCTATGTGGAATCTCCCCACCTCTGGGGCTGCAGAGACATCTCTCTTCATTGTGTGAGGGACGCTGAGATCACACAGCTGGCTTTCCCCTGGGAGTCTGTGTGTGCAGATGTGTTTACTTGGGCGTAAGCAGCGCAGGATTCCTACCTGCCCCCCACATATGAACGGGACGTCAGGAGGCCTCTGCCCTGGCCATTCCCCGGCCAGCCTTCTGCTGGGCTCTGGGGCTAGAGTTGCCTCTGCAGGTCCTTCCTTCCACAGGGGCTGGTCCTGCCGTGTGTCCGACCCCTCGCCCTTCCCACCTGAGAGGCCGGATGGACGGACGCTGGCTGGATCCCAGACCTGCGCGTGGTGGGGGGCCAGGTCCCGGCAGCACACAGTGGGGACAGGCAATGGGTCCACCACGCTGGGGAGCCCCGCTCGGAGGAGAGTCCCCAGTTCTCCAGGGCCAGCCTTGTCAAGGGCACCCGTAATAACCATGTTGTATTACCCTGACTGAAAGAGAAATACAGTCGGGGAGAGTTCTGATGCTCTCTGCCAAACAGAAGGCACATTCCAGAATATTCAGTGTATGCCCAAGTCATTTGCTATCAAGAACACAGGAAGCAGCCATTCCCGCAGTGTGTGCAGGACGCATGTCTGGAGACAGGGATCCCCCAAGGGGCAGCTGGACTGCGTCAAACTGGTCTGACTGTGTGCGTGTGCATGCATGCAAGTCTGTGTGTGTGTGTGTGTGTGTGTGTGTGTGTGTGAGACAGGGTCTCCGAGCTGTCACCATGCATCCCAGACTGACCTTGAACTCTCAGTCCTCCTCCTTCAGCCTCCCACACGCTGGGACTACAGCCATGCATCACCGTGCCCAGCTCTGGTCTGACTGTTTTTTTTCACGTTTCCACAGAATGCTTTTGCTGAGTGTGGCGTGGCTGTCGGTAGCCTGAGCGGTGGCTGATAGTTTGCAGGAAAGATTGGAATGCTGAAGGCAGATTCTTCCAAGCTCTCCCCCTCTTGTGGGGCATGTGTGTGTGGGGGGGGTATCAAGGCTGGGATATGTTGCTGTTACCCTGCTCAGAGACACCACCTCTTACACAGAATGCCCATCCCCTGCAGTGTACCATTTCTAAGTCCCCTGGATTGTTGAGTGAGACACAGAAACCCAGGACCTTGGTGAGTCGTGCAGAGACTCCAGCCCTCCCCTTCCCTGCCCCTTTCCCCATGGCTGGCATCTCTTGGAGTCTCTGAGAACTTCAGCCCGGAGCAAAGAGTCCCCCGGGTACTTAGAGCGGCAGATGGCCGTGCATAGTAAAGTGGTACCATTCATGAATCCACACTGAGGGATACGTGAGGGGAATCTCAATGGCGGGGGGCATTGAACGAAGCAGGTGAGGTAGGAGGAAACAGAGGGGGCAGGGGAAGAACTCGGTGGTGGAGATGTGTGTGTGGGCAGGCCCCTGGGGTGGACCGGGGCCAGCTGGGTCTGAAGCCTCTCCACCTTGACCCTGACCTTGCTCTCTTTCCCCTACCCAGGATTTCAGCTTTGTCCTCTGTGAAAGGAGAGGGGGACCATGGATGTCCAATGTCCACGTAGGGTGGGTAGGGAGTGATGAGATTTCCAGCTCTCTTTTCTGCAGCATGGTTCTAGATGCACTGTGTGTGTGTGTGTGTGTGTGTGTGTGTGTGTGTGTGTGTGTGTGTGATGGTCCTGGGGCTTGAACTCAGGGCCTGGGCACTGTCCCAGAAGTGCTCTAGAAGGAGGAGGGCGGGCAGGGCTGGCGCTGCGGGGCCGGTGTGATGGTTACAGGGGTCAGGGGAGCCCAGGCCACAGCTCGGAGCAGCCCCGGCTCACAGCCCCGCCGTCCTGGCCTGGGAGATGTGATTTTTGTTTTTTTGGTAGCTCAGGTGTGATATGAGAGGTGGAGGTTCAGAAAGAGAGGCTCTGCTCACAGCACTGGCTGGGAAACGAGACGAGAGTCCAGTCCCTCCTGCGGTCTCCCTTAGTACCGTGTCCACAGCTGAGCCTCGCTCCCGGACCCTGGCAGGATGCTGTTTGTGGCGCAGTTTGGAAGGAGGTGAAATGGTCCTCTGCTCAGTGGGACCCTTTCTTACTTGCGTCCCCAAGGACCAGAGGCCCTACCCTCTTTCAGCAGGTCCTTCCCTCCTTCCCTCCCTCCCTCAGTCCTCTCCTTCCCCGGTCGCTCCCTCTCTCCCGCCCTCTTTCCCTCCCTCCTCCTTTCTGCATTGGCATTGGCATTAGCGTCAGCACCTCTTTTGGAAACAATGCTTTGGTCTTGTAGTAGAAAGTGTGCTGGTCTGGACCCTAGGCTTGCCTCTGGTCCATTCTGCTGTGTGTTTTTGATGAGGGAGCTGCCTCTCTCTGAGCCCCAAGCGTTTTCCTTCAGCCATCTCTGAGAGTGTTTCCTGTGTGGAGATTTGTGTGGTTCAGAACACCGGGCGACCCTGCCAGTTGCGTGCAGACCGGGCCTCGGGCTTTGTGCACAAACATGGGCGTCAGATCATGGGACCGGGTTGTCCTTTGGGGCGGTGTGTGCAGGGAGTGGTGTCTGCGGTCCTGAAGAGAAGGTGTGAGAAGGGGAGAAATGCTTCCACCCTGCGAGGCCGCGGAGAGACGGGAGGCTGGGAAACCATCCGCGTGTTTGTTGTTTTTCACTCAGAAGGAAGTTTGCAGACCACCCTCTTTTCACCCCTAAATCCTGGGTCAAGAAGCTCCTGCCTTCCAGGAGCCCCCCATGGTTCTCCTCTTCACCCCATGGTGCCCTCCTCCTCCCCATGCTCCCGACAGGCTGGTGTACCCCTCCCCGACGCCCCTTGGGGGGTCAGGGACCATTTGATTGTCTCCCTGTGGGCCCCATGCCTGTGGGCTGGTGGAGCTCTACATCGTGGGGCCATGCTGGTGGCATCCTGAGTGCGGGTGCACCTTTGTCCCCATGTGGACACACGAAGCCCCGTGCGAGCCATCCTGTGTCAGGTGGGGCACTGGAGGAGGCAGCCTCCGCCCCGGGCCCCTCATCTCTGCCTCCTCCCCCTGCCGCCCGCCAGCTGGAGCAGAGCAAGGCAAAGTGCGAGGATGCCCTGAAGACACAGAAGGCGCTGACGGTGGACCTGGAGGCCATGCACAGTGAGCTGGAGAGCATGGCGCGCAGCAAGAGCCTGGTACGGGCCTGGGAACCTGGCTCAGTGGTAGAGTGCTTGCCTCGCGTGCATGAAGCCCTGGGTTCGATTCCTCACTACCACACACACACAGTCAAGGCCAGAAGTGGTGCTTTAGCTCAAGTGCTAGCTTTGAGCAAAAGAAGCTCAAGGACAGTGCTCAGGCCCTGAGTTCAAGCCCCAAGACTAGTTTAAAAAAAAAAAAAACACCTGGTACGTCCCTCCTCCACCTGGAGCCGGAAGCCAGGGGTGGCTTGCCTTTCCCTGCCCAGGTTGCAAAGGATCCTGTGCATGTCCATGCTGTGTGCAAACTCCTGATGTTTACGTAGCGACGAAGATGGATCGCCCAACGCTTGCCCCAAAATTCCCGTGGTCCTTTCATGTGGAATTATGAGGAGCTGACCCACAAATGTCCATGCATGCACACGAGCACACACAGACCAGAGTGCTGCACGCACATGCACACATGCACGTGCACGCTCAGACCCCTCCCCCGCCCCCGCAGGTGGACGAGCAGCTGTTCCGGCTGCAGTTTGAGAAGGCTGACCTCCTGAAGCGCATCGATGAGGACCAGGATGACCTCAATGACCTCATGCAGAAGCACAAGGACCTCATAGCCCAGGTGCCCATGAGCTGCCGCAGCACCGCAAGGCACGGGAGAGACAAGGAGGGCCCCCAGGAAGGGGAACACTGCCGACGGAGAGTGCGTCTCTGAAGCACCTCTCCACTAAGAAACAGTGGTTTATTCACACATCAGCTATCCAGCCACCCAGCCACTCATCTACCCATCTAACATCCATCCATTCACCCATCCACCCATTTGTCCACCCATCCATCCATCTACCCATTCATCCATCCATCCACCCATCCATCCATCTACCCATTCATCGATCCATCCACCCATCCATCCATATACCCATCTATCTACCCATCCATCCATCCATCCACCCATCTAATACCCATCCACCCATCCACCCATCTAACACCCATCCACCCATCTAACATCCATCCAGCCACCCATCCACCCATCTAACATCCATCCAGCCACCCATCTAACATCCATCCATCCACCCATCCACCCATTTTTCTACCCATCCATCCATCTACCCATTCATCCATCCATCCACCCATCCATCCATATACCCATCTATCCACCCATCCATCCACTCACCCATCACCCATCCATCCATCTACTTATTCACCCATCCATCCACCCATCTCCCATCTTTCCATCCATCTAATCATCCATCCATCCATCCATTCATCCACCCACCAATCTATCCACCCACCCACCCATCCACCCATCCATCCATCCTTCTACCCATCCCACTGGCCAGAGGCTGAGGGGTGCAGAGGAGGGCATGCCAAGAGACCAGTTTTGGGAACTGCTGTTGTCACAGAACCTCTGAGAGGAAGGGAGATGGAGAGAGGAGGAACATAGAGTGTCCTCATGGGGACCTTCCTCTTGTCTCTGTCCCTGCAGTCTGCTGCCGACATCGGGCAGATCCAGGAGCTGCACCTGCAGCTGGAGGAAGCCAGGAAGGAGAAGCAGAAGCTCCAGGAGCAAGTAGGTGCTCCGGGTCACATGGGGTGGGCAGGAGGGGCCAGGCTCCCTTGAGCCCCACCCCTCTGCTCCTGCAACTGCAGATCGTGTGACCAGTGTATGAGGGAACAGTTGAGGACAGTCTCAGTAGACAGACAGACTGACATTCAGTCACTCTTGCCCGTGCAAGGCCCCGTCCAGGGCTACCCTGCCAGCCTTTCTGCCCAGGCTGACCTTTCTCCCTCTATAGATCTGCTGTAAGGGATAGAATGGAGATCTCAGCCCTGTGTGATCTTCCTTTGAAGTCACACTTGCTCCCAGACTCCTCTCACCTCAACCTATGGGGAGCGATAGTCATGAGAGGAGTTACCTGAGCCCTTTCTAGAACCATGGTGTGTGGCTATCAGAGTGACCCAGGGCTCACATGCATTTTCATGGGCACTGAATGGCCTGAGACAGGACAGGGAACATTTCTCTGGACACTGGCTGGAGCTGGTATAGAGAGCAGGAGCTAGTTTCTGTCTGCACGATGTCACCATGGGGTAGGCCTGAGGGGCTGCTGACCTGAAGTCCTGCCTCAGATTCCAACCACACAGAATCATCTTCCTGCACCGGCCACTAGGGGCGGTGATGGCCCTGGGCCTGGAGCCCGCATGGGCGCCTGTCCTGAGGCCCCGGGCTGACCGGCGGTCAGCGGAGCCCCTGCTGTGCCCCCAGCTGCAGGTGGCCCAGACGCGCATCGAGTACCTGGAGCAGTCCACTGTGGACCGCGCCATCGTCAGCAGGCAGGAGGCGGTCGTCTGTGACCTGGAGAGCAAGACGGAGTTCCAGAAAGTGCAGATCAAGAGATTCGAGGTACTAGAGGCCATGCGAGCCCTACTCGAGGAGAGGGGTCAGGGGGAGCGCGGGCCAGCTCCGTCCCAGCGCCCAGGATGGCCGTGACTCCTCCCTCCGCCCTTCTTCAGTCCTCCCTCACCTTTTCCTGTCTTCCTTCTTCGTATTGTATCTTTCTTTAAGTGACTTCTCCACTCATTCATCCATCTCTGTTTCTCTTCACCTATCCTTATCAGCTCATCCATCATCCATTATTCTATCCATCATCTGTGTATCCATTCATCTGCCTGTCCATTCATTCATCCATCATCCACTTACTCATTATCCATTCATCTCTCTGTCCATCCAGCCTCCATCCATCTTTTCATCTGTTCATCATCTGTCCACTCATTATCTGTTCATTTATCCATCCATCCATACATACATATATGCACACAATACATAAATATATACACCTATTAGCTATTCATTTGTCCATTCATCCACCCATTATCTATTCATCTGTCCATCCATCAGTCCATCCACACAGTCATCTGTCCGTCCATCCATCTTCCATCTATCTACCGTCCATCCATTTGTTCTTTACGCCATTCTTCTCTTTTATTCAGACCTGGAGTCATCTCAATTAATCTGCTCATCTACCCACCTACTCATCCACTTAAGCATCCAACACTCATTTCTAAGTAAATCTAGTTTGCACCTAATTTGAGAACAGCCCTGTGTTTGATGCACAAAAGTCAGATGGGGAAGAAATGTGCATAAATACCCTTCATAAGACAAGTCTGAAAGTAAAAGATCCTTGTTGTGCTGGGGAAGTGGGGGGGGCAGGAGAGGGAGGGTGCAGGAGGAGTACAATCATGCTGAAGGGCAAGGGAAGACCTTGATGTGCCGGGCTGGGGCTCAATCACCTTGAGCTGGAAGCTCGGGTGTGCGTCATTGTCATTGTTGAGATCCTTGGCTATTAACCAGTCCTGCTCGGTGTTTAATACACACTTTGGGGTGACCTCTGCTGACCAAGGAGAACAGGACCCCAGAGAGTGTTAGGAAAATGGAGGAGAAAGGAAAAGGCTGGCCTCGGTCCCAACAGCTGTGGACTGTTTATTGAGGCACAGCAGCCTTCCTGCGGGAATGGAGGTTGTGGTGGAGATGGGGTTGGAGTCGGGCTTCTGTGGGGATCTGAGCAAGGAGACGGGGTTATCGGAAAGGCTACTAGGGCTGGGGAGGTGGGGGCTTCTGGTGAGACCCACACGGAATGTTGATGGCCAGGCTTGCCCTGGGCAGATCTTAGAATCCCTCAGGCCATCCCGCAAGGCACAGCCGTCTCCGCCAGGTCATGCTGGACCTTGGCTCTGCCATGTATTTGAAGCGATTCTGCGTGACACACTGCATTATACCGTTTAGGGCTTGATTCTAGCATGGAGTCGGGCTTTCTTGATTCTCTTTGCTAGGCAGGAGCTGAGAAGAGTGAAAACTTGGATGGCTAGCTGAGACTTCAGAGGGGGAAACCGTTTGTCTCTGAGTCGGCTCCTTTCCTCTGCCCCAGTACCCCACGTGAATCTCGTAGAAACCCGGGTCCTTAAGGCAGAGATGGGGTACCCTGAGGACCCCGTTTGGGACCCACCCTTCTCTCTACCTCCTCCTCTGGGATTATTAAACCACGAGGAGCAGAGCTGTTTAGGCTCCCGTGGAGTATCTGATCTCCGTTCCTTTCTGCCCCATTCTGTGGCTTCCAAGAGGGGCTCCGAGGACTCAGCAAAGGGCTTGAAATATTCATGTGACTCCCTCCCTCCCCACTGCCTTCCTTCCTCCTTCCCGCCCGCCTCCCTCCTCCCCTCTGTCTTAGATCAGCATGCCGGCATTTGCTTGCCAGCATCAATTCGTTCCAGGCTTTTTGGCTAACAGATTCTGCAGGAGGACCCTTGCCTCTGCTATCTGGAGTGTCCATGACGCTGTATCCCAAGTGCCTTGCTCTCGGTGGTGCCCTTGTGCCCCTCTGCTCTGTTCATCCCCAGGAAAGGACAAAGAGCATGAAGTATTAGGACCGGGGCTCTAGAGAAGACCTGGCGGTAGCTCTTGTTTTATAAATCTGGAATCAAATCTCATGTTGGAGAAAGGTTTCTGAGGGGGCATTGCTCTCGCTCCAGGGCGTGGCTCTGCCTCCCGGACCTCAGGATGGATGGCGGCTTTGTGCATGCCAACCACACCCAGCTCTCCGCTGCCGCGCCTCGGCTTCTGACACTGAACCATACCCTCTGCATAACCTGACACGCTCCATTGGGGCAGTGACACGGGAACAGTACCACCTGTGCTGCTCAGAGAGGCCCAGTGGCCTGCCCAAGATCACACAGCCAGGGAGAGGAGGGAGAGGTGGCATTTGAACCCCGCACATCTCAAAAAGTCAGAGTTCTTAGTAGGTCCCGTCTATTTCTGCCATTTTTATTTTGGAGGCAAAAAACAAAAACTATCAGGCTTCTTAGCGGGTCTGCTTTGTGAGCACACAGCAGATTCTGCAAAGGTAGCCTGTCCTCCGAGCCCCTGCTGGGCCCTCAGCCATTCTCTCGCACCTCTCAGGTCCTGGTGATCCGGCTTAGGGACAGCCTGATCAAGATGGGCGAGGAGCTGTCGCAGGCCACCATGGCGGAGACCCAGCAGCGGGAGAACAGCCAGTATTATCAGCGGCGGCTGGAAGAGATGAAGGCAGAGATGGAGGAGCTGGTGCAGCGGGAGGCGGCGGCCAGCCGGCGGTGCATGGAGCTGGTGAGGCCTTGCGCGGTCAAGGGTATGGTCCAGGAGCGAGGGGAGGTCTTCCCAAGGGGAGACTCCAGGGCTTGCTTCCTGGGCTTTTAGGATTGGGTACCAAAAAGGGAGAAAGTCAGAAAGGATGGGCTGAGAAATGGCACTGCCATTGGCTGTACATCCTGGGGGGGGGGGGCGGGTCCAAAGTGGACCAATGGCATTCGCTGCTACTGGGATGGACAGCTCAGAGGCCACACCTCTTTCCTGCCCCTTCCTTACATTCCACTCAATGGCGTGGGGGCGCAGCCTCAGAGAGGGGATGGTTGTGTATGAAATGTGCGTCTTTAAATGTCCATGTGTTAAAGGTCTATGGTGTGACGGGGTCTTTGCAACCTAGCAGATAACTGCACAGCAGCCCTGCAGAGTTACAATTGATGCTACCATTTTACAGAGGAGAAAGCTGAAGCTTCAAAGAGATGAGATCATTCATTACAACTAATCAAATGTGAACCGGGCGCTGGTGGCTCAAGCCTGTAATCCCAGCTACTCAGGAAGCTGAGATCCACAGGATCAAGGTTTTGAAGCCAGCCTGAGCAGAGAAACTCAGCAAGACCCCTCTCTCTAATGAACCAGCCAAAGGCAGACCTGGGGGCATGGCTCAAGTGGTTTAGCACCAGTCAAAGAAGCTTGAGGCTCAGAGATCAAAACCCCAATCAGGCAAAACAACCACCACCACCAATCATTCCTCGTGGAGCTGTTTCTAGGCTAGGGGCAATGACTGTAGACTTGAAAGATAAGAATAATGACAAAAACTACTGAGTACATTTGCCACGCTCCGGGTTCCGGGTGAACCCCATTGTGCAGGTGGGGAAACTGAGGGACTGGAAGGTCAACTTGCCACACTGAGATTCAGAGCGGTACCTTCACGGATCTGCCCAGTCTCTAGTCTGTGTTTTAGCCACTAAGTCCCTGGCATGGTCCAGAGAACACTGTATTTTTAAATTTGCTATGTGGAAGGCAAGGGAGGTACTAGGGTTTGAACTCAGGACCTCATGCTTACTAGGCACTTAGCCTCTGAACCGCATTTCCTTGGTTATCATTGAGATCTAGTCTCACTTCTGACCTGGCCATGCACCTGTGTACGATGCACCTATGTTAAGCATCCTGTTGTACCTAGGATCGCAGATGCTTGCAACCAGCCCCGGCTTTCCATGGAGGTGGAGTCTTGACTTTTCTGCCCCTGCGGCCCCTGAACAGCGATCTTCCCAATCTCAGACTGCTAAATAGCTAGGACCACAGGTGTGAGCCCCTGCCACCCCTCCAGAGGGTGGTTTCTCATTCAGTGTGTATTTCTGTGAGGATCTCAGAGCGTCCGAGAGCCTCTGCTTTGCTCTTTTCCCAGTGGGGACAAATATCCTGAAGACACCAGATTTCTGATCTGTAAACCTGGCAATCGCTTTTGCCCATCACCACAGCTCCTTCACTGAGACACGCCTAGGGCTGGCTTATAGGGGTGTAAGGTACATTCTCCTCTTCTCTGCTGGAGCATCTGGTCTCCCACTGCCAGCCACCCTGTCCAGGTCAGCTTTGCCCTTGACAAGCAACTCCAGGCTCATTCTCCCCTGTGTGTGGGGGGGGGGGGGGTAGGGGAGGCAGGCAAGCCGCCTCACAGAGCCTCAGGGGCCAAGGTTCAATTTCCCACATTGAGTTACCCGTCACCCGCTGGCTTGGGAAGAGAGAAGGCAGTCTTCCTCCAATCTACTTCCCCATTAGCAGACCTGCTGCACCCCTCCCTCCCCCCACCCACTGCCTCTGGCTGGGAGGAGACATGTACCCAGCCTTTCCCCTCTGGTATCTTCCTTAGCTGGCTGGGCATGCAGGCATGCTGTGACCGCATCAAACACTGGGTTTCCTTCTGTGACCCACAGTCTTATCCTGTCTTTCCTCTTTTCCTCTCTTGGTCCTCTCCTTCCTTTTTTCCTCCCCCATCTCCTCTCCCTGTGGCTATATTCGAGATCTTTAAAGACCCTAAAATACTGACTATTATCCAGCCCTATCTGCAAGATTCTGCTGCTTGCGTTCTAAGTGTGGTGATGAGGATTATTGCTGGGTCACAAGTCACGGGGAATTCTTGGTTTCTCAGCATGTCTAAAATGTTCATGTTTATTGGGCTGTGCTACCGTATCTAAGAATCAGCATGCATGCCTCTATTTAGAAACACCTTATTGCTGAAAATTACTAGTGACTCTGAGCAATCAAAGGAGTGGATGAATATTTGCTAAGCACAAACTCACCACAAACCCTCCCTGTGTAAGTACCACAAAACCTTCGAAGAGCAATAAATTTCAAGTGTGATGGGGTTAGGGGTAGTGATCCGTGCCTGGAATCCTACCACCTCAGGAAGTGGAGAGAAGAGGATAATGGTCCAAGGTCAGCCCAGGCAAAAAAAAAAAAAAAGTTAATGGGACTTTATCTTAACAAGCTAACTGGTATGGTGAGCCATGCCTATAATCCCAGACACTTTAGGGGCGGGGGTAGAGGTGGCAACAGTCATGGTCTAAGGCTGGCGCAGGCCAGAGTACGAGATCGGAAAACCAAATGAAATGCAAACAAGAGGTCTTGAGGCGTGGGTCATAAAAAGAAAAGAGAATGTAATGAGATTGTCCCACGGTACAGGCCCTGCCTGTCAGTGAAAACAGCAACAGCATGAACTCTAAAACCCAGAACCTGTTGCATGATGCCGAAAGTGAGACTTATTTTCCTCCACCTGGGTGTTGAGTGCAAGCACGTCAGTAAGACTGAGCGAGCCGGGCGCCGGTGGCTCACGCCTGTCATCCTAGCTACTCAGGAGGCTGAGATCTGAGATCACGGTTCATAGCCAGCCCAGACAGGAAAGTCCCTGTGAGACTCCTATCTTTAATTTACCACCAGAAAACTGGAAGTGGCGCTGTGGCTCAAGTGGTAGAGCCTTGAGCTGAAGAGCTCAGGGACAGCGCCCAGGCCCAGAGTTCAAGCCCCACGACTGACAAAAAGAAAAAAAAATTGAGTATATTTTCCTTCCTCTGATTGCAACACCTGAGCGAATCTGAGCCTTTTCCCCTGTTTCTCTGTGGGAGTTCTGTTGCTGAGAGTCTGTCATTGGTTCCTAGAAGACATGTCCTCTGCAGTTACGGAGGCTAGGAGTCGGAAATCAGTGTGCTCTGGGGTGGCACTCACTGCAAAGACACTGGAGAGAGGCCTTTGTGTGTCATCTGCCTCCTGCCAGCCTAGCCCCCCTCCTAGCTGCCGGCAGCCTTCCCCATGGGAGGAAGTAAGGTTACTTGGGGAATGCATCCTTGGAGGGGGCCGGCCCTTGGCAGGAGCCACGAGCTCCGCCCCTTCCTGTCTGTCTCTCCTGGCTTCCTGGCTGCCATGAGCAGCAGCTTTGCTCCCCGCCCCCCCCCATTCCCTGCCTTGATGGTCTGGGCCACCCCAGGCCCTGAGAACAGGGCCAGGGAACCTCAGAAACCACGGGCCGGGGTCCACCTTTCTTCTCTACGTTGCTTATCTCAGTCACTTTGTCACAGCAGCGCAATGCTGACCAGCACAGTAACAGCAACACTATTTGTGGGTCTTGATCGTGTGTGTTAGGGGTTCTGCCGTGGGAGCCCAGGTGTGTCTCCAGGCAAAGTTCAGATCTATGCTTTGCGATTTGTGGGTCAGTGTCTCTGAGAATGTCACTTGGCACCGGATCTCTTTCCTGGGTCAAGTGTCACTACCACGCATTCGCTTCCTGGACAAAGTGCTAACCTTGTTCATCAACCATCTTTTTTTTTTTGTCGGTCGTGGGGCTTGAACTCAGAGCCTAGGTGCTGTTCCCGAGTTCTTGCACTCAAGGCTAGTGCTCTCCCACTTCAAGCTTCAGCTCCACTTCTGCTTCCCTGGTGGTTCAGTAGAGATTAAGAGCCTTGCAGATTCCCTTGCCAGGCTGGCTTTGAACCACAATCCTCAGATCTCCTGAGTAGCTGGGGTGACAGGTGTGAGCCACCAGCGTTTAAATGTAAATCTCCCTGAAGAGATGGGATGGATTTCCTAACCCCACAGTCTGAGGATTTGCGCGGTTCTTTATCCTCTTAGCACACACCAGGTATGCTCCCGCCGCCCTGTGCTGCCCCTCTTTGAATACTGGACATCAGCAGCGGCAGGCAGCTAGTGCAAAGGGGCAGTGGCTGCCCAGAGTCGCAGGGTCAGAGCCGGGCTGAGTATCGCTTCGTGGGCAGTACTGAAACTGTCCCCACGACCATCCCGCTGCCCTTCCAACCCAACCCTGCTGAGCATTGGGCTTCGCTCTGGGAGATTTCGGAAGCAGACCCAGTCCCCTGGGCTCTGGTGAAGGCTCACGAAGGACGTGGATGGATCTCCCACCCGCCTTCCTTTCTGCCTGTCCCTAGCCGGTGCCATCCGTCATGGCGAGTGTTGGTTTAAAGGCTGCGAGTCGTTGCCTGGGGATGATGGATCCCAGCCGCCAGCCCCCCGGAACAAGGAGATCAGCATCAATTACCGCCATGGAACTTCTCTTCCCGGGTGAAAGAAAAATGAGGTTTTGCCATTAATTTTAGTAAATGTACTACTATTCCTGGTGACTCCAGGAATCATTATGGGGCAGGGCTGGCGGGGGGAATGTCTTGACTGGCTCTAAATCATCGAGTCCCTCTGTCGCTGGCATGGCTGGGATAGGCCAGTGAATTTATAGCCTTTTGTTTTTCGATAGTCTTGGAGCCCTGGGGTGGGGGGTGGAGACCTTGCAGCCGGGCCCAGGGGTGGGGGGACCTGTGTGCAAGGTGCTGGGAGGAGGCTTGGAGAAGCTGAGAGCCAGATGGGGCGGGGATGGGGGGCAGTCTCTCTAAAGTCACCATCCCCACCATCCACGGGGTCAGCCTTGGTGGCTGGGTCTGGACTCCTCAGAGTCCATTCTTGAGCTCACAGTGCATCTGAAGCACATGGTGTTTGCCCATTTGGGTCCATTAAAAAAGAAGAAGAAT